ACACGGGAGTCAGTATGTCTGACACGGTAGTCAGTATGTATAACACGGTAGCCAGTATGTATGTCACAGTGGTCAGTATGTATGACACGGTGGTCAGTATGTATGACACGGTGGTCAGTATGTATGACACGGTAGTCAGTATGTATCACACGGTAGTCAGTATGTATGTCACGGTAGTCAGTATGTATGTCACGGTAGTCAGTATGCATGTCACGGTAGTCAGTAAATACAACACGGGAGTCAGTATGTCTGACACGGACGTCAGTATGTATAACACGGTAGTCAGTATGCATGACACAGTAGGCAGTATGTATTATAGTCAGTTTGTATGACTCGGTAGTCAGTATATATACAGACCCGTACACGATCACTGTTCCACCTTGGACGCAAACGGTACGGAAGTATTAGGCAAGTGCTACGCAAACGGTAGGAAGTGCTACGGATGACGCTTACAAACGGTCGATTCGTTTGTGGTTCACGACAAGAACGGGTTTACATAAAAAGCGGAAGCACATGAAACATCTAAAACAAAACGAAGATACCCACAATACATAGTAAGAAACGTCAGTAAACTAGGAGGCACATAACAATGTTTTAAATTTTGCCATTTCGTTTGGATAATGGAATGAGTGTAGTCAAACAGAAATGTCTCGTGATTTATAAAGATATAGGTCGATCAAATATTGGTAATTATAATTTTTCCACAGTCCTGACGTACGCTAACTGATTAACGCGGCAAACTGATAATAATAAGTTATGGTCAGAAGTATTTTCACCAGCTCACCGAACGAAAAACTAATTAATATTGACAGTATGTAAACTGGTTACGGTTTTAATGATAGGCCTAATAATAAAAAAAAAGTTGAAAGAATTTCAGACTTCTGTGTCTCAATTATGGGTGCAGTACCTCTATGTCCACTTTTTTCTATCGTCTTAAATAATTTCCATACACTTTTGAGACCGATAACTTGTTTCATTATTAGTACATGCAAATACATGCATTAGAGGTTTGAAATTAAAGGCCTATTCATTAAATTTCATTCTAACACGATTCGTTTTCAACGCGTGTTTTGTTTGGATACGGACCATGTTCTAATCTGGGATAGAATCATGATAAATCATGTTAAGCTCCGCCCATTGTACTAAAGCCACGCCCCGTTTCTAATTAAAAACAATATGGCGTCAAGCTTGCCTCTTAGCTAAGATAAGGCTGGAAGGCAACATAACAGAAAGGACCAATGAAATGTATTTGTTGAATCAATTAAAAATAAATAGTACGTATTCCTTGTTCTTACCTCCGTTCCATCCTTGTGTAGGCATCTAGATCCGAAATCAAATGAAACATTTCACATGTGTCGTATGAAGTTGTCAATGATCCAGAGGCGTGAATATTACAATATGTAATATATACGCCTCTGACTGATCGAAACAAAATTAATTATCAACGATTTTGTCGATACGCACAAATTGGCATGCATACTGACATGGAAATGTAAGAATTTGGTCAATGTTAATCCAAATGTGTCGTATAAACTTTGGTAACAGGACGTTCACGATCAATTCAAACATTCCGCCTCAACAACATAAAGATCGAGCGCTCGCCAGTATGGGCGGGGCTAAATGACCGACTTTTGAAAGCTTCTTTCTGATTGGTCAGTCCGCTGCAGCACAGGGCACAGAGTAATTTACTACGTACTTGTAGCAAGATAAATGCAATGTTTCTAAACATATAAGCGTAGTTTATTTGTTAAGGTGTGTTAGAATGGGGATGGTATGTTGTTTTTCGTGTCTATACTGGCGATTAGAACATGACATTTGGTTCAATCCAAATGTCATGTTCTAATCGCCAGTAAAATAATATGTTATAAACATGTATTTTTTCATTCATGATATGCACTTTTGGTATGAATAAGATTATAGGTTTTCTTTATCGATCATAAAAATATAGGTAAAATGCTTCGTGTCCTTTCTGTCCGATGATTCGTGTCCTTTCTTTCCGATGCTTCGTGTATTTTCTTTCCGATGCTTCGTGTCATTTCTTTCCGATGCATCGTCTCCTTTCTTTCCGATGCTTCGTGTCCTTTCTTTCCGATGCTTCGTGTCCTTTCTTTCAGATGCATCGTGTCCTTTCTTTCCGATGCATCGTGTCCTTTCTTTCCGATGTCTCGTGTCCTTTCTTTCCGATGCATCGTGTCCTTTCTTTCCGATGCTTCGTGTCCTTTCTTTCCGATGCTTTGTGTCCTTTCTTTCCGATGCTTCGTTTACTTTCTTTCCGATGCATCGTGTCCTTTCTTTCCGATGCATCGTCTCCTTTCTTTCCGATGCTTCGTGTCCTTTCTTTCCGATGCATCGTGTCCTTTCTTTCCGATGCATCGTGTCCTTTCTTTCCGATGCTTCGTGTCCTTTCTTTCCGATGCTTCGTGTCCTTTCTTTCCGATGCTTCGTGTCCTTTCTTTCCGATGCTTCGTGTCCTTTCTTTCCGATGCTTCGTGTCCTTTCTTTCCGATGCTTCGTGTCCTTTCTTTCCGATGCTTCGTGTCCTTTCTTTCCGATGCTTCGTGTCCTTTCTTTCCGATGCTTCGTGTCCTTTCTTTCCGATGCTTCGTGTCCTTTCTTTCCGATGCTTCGTGTCCTTTCTTTCCGATGCTTCGTGTCCTTTCTTTCCGATGCTTCGTGTCCTTTCTTTCCGATGCTTCGTGTCCTTTCTTTCCGATGCTTCGTGTCCTTTCTTTCCGATGCTTCGTGTCCTTTCTTTCCGATGCTTCGTGTCCTTTCTTTCCGATGCTTCGTGTCCTTTCTTTCCGATGCTTCGTGTCCTTTCTTTCCGATGCTTCGTGTCCTTTCTTTCCGATGCTTCGTGTCCTTTCTTTCCGATGCTTTGTGTCCTTTCTTTCCGATGCATCGTGTCCTTTCTTTCCGATGCATCGTGTCCTTTCTTTCCGATGCTTCGTGTATTTTCTTTCCGATGCCTCGTGTCATTTCTTTTTGATGCCTCGTCTCCTTTCTTTCCGACGCCTCGTTGTCCTTTATTTGCAATGCCTTGTGTCCTTTTTCTCCGATGCCTCGTTGTTCTTTATTTGCGATGCCTCGTTGTCCTTCATTTCCGATGCCTCGTGTCCTTTCTTTCCGATGTCTCGTGTCCTTTCTTTCCGATGCATCGTCTCCTTTCTTTCCGATGTCTCGTTGTCCTTTTTTTCCGATGCTTCGTGTATTTTCTGTCCGATGCCTCGTGTCATTTCTTTTTGATACCTCGTCTCCTTTCTTTCCGACGCCTCGTTGTCCTTTATTTGCAAAGCCTTGTGTCCTTTCTCTCCGATGCCTCGTTGTCCTTTCTTTTCGATGCGTCGTGTCCTTTCTTTCCGATGCATCGTCTCCTTTCTTTCCGATGTCTCGTTGTCCTTTATGTCCGATGCATCGTCTCCTTTCTTTCCGATGCTTCGTGTCCTTTCTTTCCGATGCTTCGTGTCCTTTCTTTCCGATGCTTCGTATCCTTTCTTTCCGATGCCTCGTGTCTTTTCTTTCCGATGCCTCGTGTTTTTTCTTCAGTTACCTGAATCATATACACATACACACATATATATAATAACTATCAGCATAAAAGCATGAAAGTATTAAAAAATACCCTCTTGTGAAGTTAGAAAAACTATTTTATGGAATGGAATTATGAAAATGTTGTTACTTAGTAAAAAAACATTTTTCAAAAGAGTTGGTATATATATTTCAGCTGCAAGATGCTATGCTAGCATATAATAACAAGTACTAATTGTAATGGGGGACCATTACAGAAGTACCCCAAACTGCCCCCATAGTCGCAAAGATGCATCAGAAAAGGATCGCAATGGCATAAAACACCTTCATAATAAATTTGAGCGAAATCGAACAATATCTGAATTTCGACCAATCTGAAGTCTCCATGTTGTTGGTATGGCAACGAAACCTATGCAGTTGAATTTGCAGTCCCCTAATACCCCTATATATTAATTTTCATAAAAAATCAAACAATATATAAATTTCGACCAATCAGAAGCCTCCGTGTGGTTGCTAAATAGTAACTATGGCAATGAAATATATGCGGTTAAATTTGAATTCCCCTAATACCCCTATATACCAATTTTCATAAAAATCAAACAATATCTAAATTTCGACCAATCAGAAGCCTCCTGGTGGTTGCTATGATGTTGCTATGGCAACGAAACCTATGCGGTTGAATTCGCAGTCCCCTAATACCCCTATATACCAATTTTTATCAAAATCGAACAATATGTACCCTATAGTCGCGAAGATGCATCAGGAAATGATCGCAATGCCTTTGTACGCATACATACTAAATTTGAGTGAAATCGAACAATTTCTAAATTGCGACCAATTAGAAGCCTCTGTGTGGTTGCTATGGCAACGAAGGTATGCGATTGAATTTGCAGCCCTTCAAAACCCCTATATATCGATTGTCATCAAAATCTAACACTATCTAAATTTCGCACATCTAGAGGCTTTCAGTAATACAGACTTTGTGTGTATTTGGGTCAATTTTTCACTCATTTTGTATGAAACTATGTGTCCTGTTTGCTTTTAGCGATTGTATTTAGTAACTTTTATCCATTTAAAAAAGAACGCTTTTTGTAACATGTTGTAGATATTTTATGATAAATATTTGTAAGGCTGATTAGCAATGTTTCTTTTCATTATTCTATTGTTGTTATAGTTTTGAACAATGCCACACACTCAAAAAATGTAAAAGTGTTGAATTTGACAAAAATTCAACTTTTCGGGATTTTTTACCAAAAAATCCCCAGTTTATCGGAATGCTTAGATTTTCATAAAATCATCTCTACATAGAGACATAACCATTATGTGAAACTTTCATTGAATTCTGCTGGCTAATTGTGAAAGGGTGGAGCCTCCTTAATGGTAACAAATGCGTGCGTGAACAGAGTTGCTTCCCCTTGCTACACATTACCTTTATTTTTTTCGTCCAGAAATAGACGTCTAGTGGGAAAACCGGAAGTGTACCCTTGAAGCAAAGACAATTGTGTTTCAACCCATACATGAACAATATTCATAAAGTGTAAAAAAATCCTCATGTTTTATTACTTGTTATTTTAAGAATAAAACTGTCCATACAACTCCAACAACCCAGGTGGAGTATAAAATGCTCTGGGGTGGATGTTGCGGTATTTGTGCTGTAGCATTCAAGCGAGGTGGCACTATAAATGATGACGTTGGAAGCACGGCGCCAATACAAACAGATCACATTACATTTCCAGCACACACGCAGGCTTAAACACATAGGGAGATATTAGACAGGTGCCATAGGACTAGGAATTAGCGCCTGATAAGGCAGCTCCTGCAAATTCCTCATTAAAATATATTGAATTAATGTTTATGCTAATTGTATATATATGTATTGTAAAGCGCTTTAGAGTGGCTTATGTTAGCTAGATAGGGCGCTATATCAAATGTTGAATATATGGATATATATATAAATAATCAATGTTTTTCATGAAATAATAACAAAAGGGCAAATTAACTTCCGTATTTGGAGAATCATTTAACGTTTTTCATGTCGGATGATTAAATGACCGAATGTGCCCAGCCCTTGTGTATAATTACGACGTCACAATGCATGCAACGTCATGTTTCACGGCTTTCCATGTATCCTATGGGCCGTAGCTGCCCCGTTGTCAATGGACGAACCTGACCCCAAATTTATATTTTAAAAAATCGTATATCAAAGCAATACGAAAGTCAACACTACGCGTTTATGTATACTGCTAAGACTCTCAAAATGATAAATATTTGCTCAAGACCTAAAATATCTGGATTGGCCGGAGTTATCCCGGGGCCGAACTTGCTACGGCTCCTTGTCCTAACCCCATAGTGAACCCTCCCGCACTAGATCAGACCTGGTTCGTTGTTTTTCAAAGCACCTTAGAAACACTTACAAATTAAATATTGGCGATATTAAATCACTCATCTAGATGTCATCTGCATAGGGATAATTAACCAAACTCGATCTGCCGTCCATATTGGGATATTTTGGACCTTTATCTATTGTTTCCTTCATCTTTCTTTACTTTGCGATGATGCAAAACTCTAAACAAGTAAAGTGCATTGATTTTTGTTGTACCTGTAATTACTCCATTCCATTTTACAATGAACATTCCTTTTTGATTAAAATCAGTCTGTTTAAAAGTGATAAGTACGTTTCGTGCTGGGCAATCGTAACAATATAAGACCCATATATTTTTTCTGTTTCTTTTCTTATATGAACTGGACAACAAAATGAATAGCTTTCAATAACTTGTGATCATGCATGATGGATGTCTCAGAATTTTAAATGATCTAGCAACACGTGTTAATAGCAATGTCAAAAACATTTGTATTGATCTGCTGGATTGCCTCAAGAAATCAGAAGAAGGTTTCAAATCAGTGGTTGTATGGATCAAAAATGATTATTAGCATTAATCATTCCTGTTTTCTTTCTCCATGTGGTACCGCAATGTACTGATATCAGTAATAGCCAATAATGAATACATTTAACGAAAAACAATTGACCGAGAGCTTTAAATGAGGTGATCTTCTTGAAACTACCTGTATTTATACTATCCATAAGTATAATTTACTCTTTATTACATGCTGTATTTCCAGTGTTTTTCATTCAGTATTGTTCTGATGCCAATAGTAATCACATACATTGTAACAAAAACGTATATACACACAATTATTAATGTACTGTAAGATGAAAGAGCAAATGGCGCAGCAAAATGCGCCTTTTTATAATAAAACCATATTGTATTAAATCAAGTAACGGAAAAATATGACAGTATTCTGAGATGAAAATGCAGAAAAATATCGCTGTGGTTGAATATTCAGAAAAAAAACCCTTTTTGTTTGATAATTGTGATAAAATTACTTCAGAAAAACTGTTTGAAAGTAGCATAAATGCATGAAATACGTACACTGATATCATTTATGTGAACCTGCCTTCAATGCAGTTACAAAGCAAAAATGTGTACTGAACTGTAGGGATAAGAAAAAAACAAAATCAAAATATTCTTAATAATTAAGGATTAACTTGAATATATTGTTCATGTTATGGAGATATAACACACAAAAAACGGAGTGTACTCTAAATAAACCGCGAAGCGGTTTATGATTACAGTACCCTCCGGTTTTTTGTGTTAAAGTTCCATAACATGAAAAATATATTCAAGTTAATCCTTATAATTTAATCTACTATACACAATCCCTGTGGAAATCCACTTTTATTGATGGACTCTTTTCTCTTAGAAATTATTGCGGTGCTGTATCAGCCAATCAAAAGCGACGTTACAAACGGCGACGTCATTTTTTATGTTATGGGCTGATAACATAAATTTTTAAGTCAAAGAAAATGCTTGTTACAAGCAAGATTAAATTATTGTAGTATAACTGTAGAAAATTCGGGTTGACTTCAGTAAGTATTGTCAACACTACGATGACGCGTGATAACAGTGACGTCACAGTCGCTTCACAACATGTTGTGAGCTTCAATTCATCCTTTCACAAACAGCAAAATACGTGGAATGGTATATATATATACGGACTTATCAGTATCAACTTATGTCATTTTGAAGCTAAGGACAAATAAACCAAGCAGAAGTACTACATTGAAATAATTTTCAGTTCGAGAGAAAAAATGAAAATATCAAAAAAATATGTAGGACTTCGAAGGATTTCATCAGTAACATCGACTTGTAAAAAAAAATGTAGAATTGTTTCTGAACATAAAAATCTGCCGGAGATATGACAAAAATACAAGGTGTTCATTGAAAATGTCAAATTAATTGTTTGTGCAAAAAGAGAACATCAATGCAGTCACGGAGCAACGCATGCTGCCGTTTTTGCCAGCTTGTACGACCGGAAGGACGAAAGAACCAATTAACTATCATTTTCCTGTACTTTCCATACATGTGTTGCTATAACGGCTCGCCCTGCTCGGACGATCGCGAAGTGCCCGCTGTAATATACATTCTGAGTTAAAAAATATATCACATAAATTATGATGCTAGCAGGCATGTAACTTCGTTCAGAGATTAGCATACTATGACATCACAAGCACGTCACATTCCATCGGCCTTAATCGGTTATTTCCAGAAGAATGATCGGTGCTTCATGACTTTTTTATTTCAGTTTTTGCCACAGGCACAAAACGTAAAAATGCGGATATTTTCTGGGAGATATCTTCAAAAAGAGCTGCATTAAACCAATAGGTCAACGTGTACATTTATTTTTCATCGTCTAAAATTTCATCAGCTTTTGATTTCCATTTGTTGAGAATATGAACGAAATAATTGACATTTTTCAAAGTCTGGTTATAGTCTTTACATAATTTATTTATGCATCACCACTCATAAAACAAATAATGGATAATTCATTATGTCGAAATCAACAATAATTGTCCAGACAACACACCCTAGTTTAACGCCCTTTTTCAGCAACGTATTTCTTTTTTCACAACGCGTGCCGATTTAAAGCTAGTTACAGACAGAAACTGTTTAACTTTAGTTGGCATCATTACCTGTCAAACCTCGGCGGCAGTTACGAAATTTGAAATTCAATTCGGTGTTTCAGGATGGAACAGGCAGGAATCGAGACTACATATCGATATAACGACAATCTCAGTAACATCAAAGTATTACAATGTTGTTGTTTTTTTTCTTTTTCTTTTTTTTTTTTACTAAAATCTCTATACATTTACTTAGACTTATCGTCAAATATGTAAGATGCACCTTTTCTATAGCAATTACCAAACGGTTTTTCCCAACTTATCTCAATCATTCTTTTTGTGACCTGACGGAAGCACGCAGAGGATTTAATTCTTTATGTGGGAGGATGATAGAGTATCCTGAGAAAACCAGCGTGGTAGGGCAGGTGTGACCGGAATTGAATCCGGCCATCTTGGTGAAGACGAGCGCGCTATCCACTGCGGCACCCGACCTAGTATCTACTTTAGCTTTGATTGGAAGAAAATGGTGTCATTGATGCAACAAAATTATATTGTGAATACATTTTTACCAATCAGCAATGATACAAAAAAATCTTCATACGGGAGACCAGGGCAGGTTCGGCCACCTCTGATATTTTTGTGTTGAGCTTATATTGACAACTTTAATGATCTTAGCAGTTTAGTTGGCCCATTCACAAGAAAAAATGGCGATAAAAACTCTAATGTAAAATTACTAAACAGGACAAAATTATTTTTGAGAGGGTAGAAAGAAAATCAGGATCTCGCTTCTACTTATACGAACTTTCTGTAAACGGAAACGGTCAAACGTGTAACACACTGACAGCTTCAAATGATATACATAAAAGCCAATTAAGCACTCACTACCATATTGCTGTGCAATAAGAATTTATTGAAATATCAATTTGGGCCCGAACAGGTTCGGCCAATGATACCGTGGCAAGTTCGGCCCATGTAACACATAAAAAGTCATAATTTAGCTGATTCCAACATGGACCGAACTTACCCGAATGCCTGTCCGAACTTACCCATGGTGGGGCTCGTTCGGTCATCCGATCTTCCGACAGGGACAATTAAAAAATGTTCAAAAACGGACGTGCTGCCATACTTCCCAGTACGGACTTTAATAAAAATAGGCCGAGCTTGCCCCGACCTCTCCTATTATTATGTCGGTCTTACTCTCATCAGAGCTTATGTTTTATTGTTGTTCCTCGACTAGCCGACCTTAAATAAAGTTTATCTTATCTCATTCTGAAAGCAGTATTCTAAATCAGTAAATATCAGAGATCCACAAAAGCCACGCTCTTTTAAGGCATTGCCTTTTCATATTAGAAATGTTCCAGGCAAGTGTTGATAAGTACAATCCAAGATGAACAATACAAGTAATCCACCACTGAGCGATGCTTCGAGGTCGAAAATAAACAGAAAACACGGGGCATGGCAGCAATGTATGGGAACACGAACAAAAGTAAAGTACCGAGAATATATAACACTAAGGAATCAAGTGGAGGGTATGCTGAGGAAAGTTCGACAAGAAATAAACAAAGAAATTGCTGGAATGGCCAAGTCGAACCTAAACCAATTTTGGAAATATGTTAATTCAACAAAAACAAGAATTTCTGACTTAAAAGGTCTAGATGGAGACGCATCAAAAATTGTAACCCAGGACAAGGATTAAGCTGATGTTATGGCTAGTTCCTTTAACACTGTTTTCATAGAGGAACCTACGGGAAACATATCAATAATGGTAACTGCAGAGTACCCTTTTGAAAAGCTATTATGTACTCAACAGAATATCGTCAAACTACGTGCAATGATAGACGGTAATGAATCCCAAGGACCAGATCAAATGCACCCAAAAGTGCTGAAGAAACTTTATTCAACAATAAACAAACCATTAAGTATAATTTTCAACAGATCTCTACATGACAGCATAGTACCATCTGCATGGAAAGAAGCCAACATCACAGCCATAACCAAAAAATTGAACAAAATCGGACCTAGGAAATTATCGACCAGTAAGTCTTACCAGTATAGTAGGAAATACGATGGAAAAGATAGTAAAAGCGCCATTGTTAAGCAAATAGAGAAGAATAATCTATTACCAAAACCCAATTAACTGTACTCCAGGTTTTAATGGTGCTTGAGGATTGGACAGATATTTTAGATCACGCATGGGAGATTGATGTCATTTACATGGATTTCATGAAGGCATTTGACAAGGTTCCACACCGTAGACTAATTAAAAGAAATAACAGAATAAATGACAAAGTTGATTGAGTAGGCAATTTTCTTAAACAAAGGAAACAAATGGTTATTGTTAATGTTAATTCATCAAAAGACCATCCCGTATTAAGCGGAATCTCTCAAGGAAGTGTCCTAGGTTCAGTACTATGTGTAATCTAAATAAATGATCCTTGTCGAATACCTGCTTGTTTGTCGATGACACAAAAATATATAGAGAAATGCGGAGCGATCAGGATAGAAAAGGGATACAAGACCTGTATAATGTACAGGACTGTTCCAACACAAGGCTTAAATGTAAAGTACTTTCAACAAAATGAAAGGAAGTTAAAAGCTACCTAATAGCTAATGCAGGAGAAGAGAAAGTTTGAAAATATATCGTCCGAAAAAAGACATTGGAGTATTGATAGATAAGGATCTGATTGTTTCGCCTCATATTCAACAGGCAGTAAACAAAGCACACTGCATTATGGGGCTTATTAGAATATCATAAACAGCTGTTCAAGGCGCTGGTCCGTCCGCACCTGGAATACGCGGCCATACAAAGTTAAAGACGTTGAAACAATTGTGACATAACAGCCGTTAACGCGCGTAACTATTGGTACCGGGCATTATTTATTCATAGATTTAAGTTATAATCTCAAAACAAGAACGTGTACAGGTGTAACATCTCATGTAAGTACAGTCATATAAATGCATACCTTGACGTTGCGTCTCTCTATCTTCGAGCTAAGTAACTAGGTCTTTCTGTCCAAACCATGTCCACACTCTATCGGGTCCAAAGCCAGAACTGTCCTCTTTCGTGGTCAAAACTTCATTCTCCGACTGTATACATGCACCCCGTTTAATACGTTCACAGTACAGCGATTACAACATTGCCTACTGCCATCATCTATCCTTAGACCCATAAATTATAGATACTGATATACATGAGTCACCAAGGGCGTAACAAACAGGTTTTCAATGTGTAAGCCCAATGATGACGTGTGCTGCCAAAGGCAGCACCCCTAAGCGCGTAGCACGGGGAGGGGGGAGGGTATCATGCCCTGTAACATTAGTACACGTATACACGGTACTCTCATCAGTAACCTGTCATGTATGATTCACGTACGTTTCCCCCGGGTCAAATGTTTCACGAGACTGTATTTCGTCCTAAGACGTGTGAACATCTCTGAGATAAATTAAGCCCAATACTTACTTAAATCAACTTTTGGGTACAGCTCACTTTTTCACACAATTGAGAAGGTACAGCGAAGGGCAACGAAACTAATATCTGGGCTGAAGGTTCTATCATACAGCGACCGTCTTAAGAAATTAGGAATTCCAACATTTACATGCTGAAGAATGAGGGGAGATATAATTAACGTCTATAAAATTATAAACTATTTTCACGACAACTGCTGTCATATGTGATCAAGATTCAACATCTAGAAATAGAGGCATACACAGAAAATAATGAAAAAACATTGTAAATTAGATATTAGGAAACATTCATTTGGCTTCAGAACTTTTGATATATGGAACAGTCTTCCTGAGGCGGGCATACCGGCTACAGCAATTAGAGACTTTGAAATTAGTTCGGACAATCATTGGAAACATCTTGAACTAAACTTTAATCCCCTGATTAGCTGCAAATCTGGTAAGGGGAGTGATTTTTAAATCAAAATTGTAATATTATATGATATGGACATAGAGGCTGGTAATTGCATGCGTCCATCATCTATCCTACTTAATCCTATAAAATCATATTTAAAAGGTCTGAAACACAAAAAAAAACTTGTTTCAGGGGGCACGATACTACCACTACACAAAAAGTTTCAAAATAATCCACTGAAAATGAGCAAATGCATAGCTGGGGAAATGTTGTCAAATGTTTTACGTTAAGGGGCATAGCTCTCTTAAAAAAGGTCCGAAACGCAAAAATATTTCAGGGGGTAAAACCGCATATATGGAACTGCCACTAAACAAAACGATTTGAAGAAATCTTTTGAAAAACATTCGTTGCGCGGGAGGGGGGCTAAAGTTTCTCGATTTTGTATCTCTTCGCCGGTCGGGGTGAAGAAAATTGAGTGTGATATTCCAGTTTGTTAGCAGCATCATTGGTGAGTTTAATACCCAATGCGTGCCAAATATGTCATCGGTAGAAATTGTTGTAACTTTAGAAACAAAATTGAATTTACCAACAAGAGCCCTCTTTTTAATATTAATATTAAACGGTTGGGTGGCAAGATATATCACTTATTACCTCAGCTTATCGATTAGTTTGTTACTAGCACCAGACAAACATTCTTTGGATCCAAGCATTACGATTAAATAACCTGGCACAGTGTGACAAAGTGAGCTTTACCAAACTTAAATAAAACATGTTGATATGATGGCTGAATAACATTTAATGAACTCTAACTTGAAATTTTATTGACATTTTGATAATAAGGACGAATGTGGCACAGAGGGCTTGTCAGAAGTGCTGTATGAATTAGTTCTGGAGTACATAATGGCCAAAATGTGTAACTGTGCACAAGTCGGCAATACGGGCCTGTTATTGTTGTTATGGTTTTGTCCAGCAGAAGGAACAGGTCTTAGATGCCAGAGAAGCGGCCATGTCTTAGAAGCTAGAGAGACACAACTTACGTTACTTAGCTAGAAGATTTGAAACACAATGCAGAAGTTACGAAGTTTTATTACTGTACATAGATGCGATGCTGTTACACCTGTACATACTTGTAATAAACGATGCCTGTTACCAACTATTACGAGCGTTACGGCTGCTGTGTCACAACATACCAAACCTGTAACACAAGGACTGCTAATTTTAGGTATTGGACATTACTCTCCCATACATTGGTACTGTATTTAATATAATGTATGGAGGGTCTTACATAGAGTTTCGATTTCATATTTGATTCATTTAAACTCGTTCAACAATTTAATAAAAACTTATTGATATGATTGAGGCTGTAAATGGAAGGCAACTAAGCAGTTACCTGGATGTAAGGAAATGTCCTATTCAGATAGACTTAAAAGGCTTAAATTACCAACACTGGCCATCAGAAGGGGGATAAGTATTTAGAATAACGAGCAATAGCAAGCTAAAGGCAGCGGATTTTCTTAAACGCGGGAACGACAAGGTCAAAAGACAGGTGACAAGAGGACATTCCAAAAAGCTATTTCAACAGCATTGTAAACTAGATATCAGTAACAAGAGGCCCAGAGGGCCTGTATCGCTCACCTGAATATGTTTAAAATTATTGGTATGAAGTAAAGGTATAGCACTCCATGGTAGATGTTGTAAGTACATATACAATTTCAGAAAAATCCATCCAGTACTTGAGATATAGCCAGAACAAACTTCAAATAGAGCCCCACCCCTATTGCCCTTAGGGGGGGGGGGGGGGGTCATACTCACCAATTATACAAAACTGAGACCCCTTGGCACAAGGATGCTCCAGACTAAGGATAAAATCCCTTAATCTCGATGGTTGAAGAGGGATGAACAGGGATTTTAAAGGTATTACCTCTATTTCTCCTATTGGGCCCCGCCCTTTAGCCCCCTGGGAGACCACACCCACTGCTTATATAAAATTGATTCCCTTTTGGCCCAAGGATGCTCCAGACTAAATTAGGATAAAATCCCTTAATCCCTATGGTAGAAGAAGGATTTTAAAGGTTTTACCTCTATTTCCCCTATTGGGCCTCGCCTCTCTGCCTCCACGGGGGTAAGACAGACTGTTTATACAAAATAGGTTCCCCTTCACCCAAGGATGCTTCATACCAAATTTGGACCAAATCCTGTCATTCGTACAGAAGAAGGTATTTGAAGAATTTGCTATGTTTCCCCTATTGGGCCCCTCCCTTCTGCCCCCAGGAGGGCAACACTCGCTGTTTATTTAAGGAATGATTTTTATTTTTTCAACATTTATGAGGTCATAACAACAATGGGTTTATGGACATATTGAATGAATCGCGTTAGCGATTCATGTAAAATATGTCCAAAAACCCATTGTTGTTATGACCTCATAAATGTTGAAAAAATAAATATCATTCCTTATATTTACATTGACGAATCCTTTCAGTGGAT